AGCCGGCGGCGCGCGGGACGCCCGGGCCGCCCTCGCCCACACGTGCGCCCGGGCCCCGCTCCCCGCTGCCATGAGACGGGCGCTCCGGAGAGGGCTCCTCGTCGCAGGCGCAAAGGGCACCTCCGCCGGGCAGCATGGTGCTGAAATCTAACCCCAGCATCATTCTCTTGTGCTCTTTCCTGCCCAGCGACTACATCATCGAGGAGAAGACGGCCGTGCTGCAGAAGAGGGAGCATGAGGGATTCGGGTTTGTGTTGCGAGGGGCCAAAGGTAAGGGCTGCCGCCTGCGCTGCGCCGCGGCGGGGACGGGAGGCGCCCGCCCGCGCTCGGCACCCCGCTTCCCCCGGCGGGGCAGCCCTGCGGCGGGGCCGGCGGCTCCTCGGGCCGGGCTCGGGCTTGGGCTCGGGTTTGGTCCTGGCTGTGTGTGCCGGGCACAAAATGCCGCTCGTGGCACCGGTTGCGCGTGCGGGGTATTTTGCACGTTCCGGGGTATTTTGCATGTTCCGGGGTATTTTCTCACGTTCTGGGGTATTTTGCACGTTGCAGGGTATTTTCTCACGTTCCAGGGTATTTTCTCAYGTTCTGGGGTATTTTRCACRTTCTGGGGTATTTTCTCACGTTCTGGGGTATTTTGCACGTTGCAGGGTATTTTCTCACGTTCCAGGGTATTTTCTCATGTTCCGGGGTATTTTGCACATTCCAGCGTATTCTGCTCGTAGCGATGCCGGATCTGTGCACCCCGCGTTCGTAGGAGCCGGCGCCTCAGCCGCTTTGCTGGCCACACCGCGCACATCGGCTGCTGGGCACAGGGGCAGCCCCACCGCGGCTCCTCCTTTCCCCCAAGGACCCGTTTGCCGGGTGCCCTGGCTGCGCGGAGCCGGGGTCCCCTCGTGCTGCAGCAGCGCCGGGGCGGGGGGCACCGACCCCACACGAGGGTGGTCTGGGGGGCACCGACCCCACACGAGGATGGTCTGGGGGGCACCGACCCGGCCAGGAGCCGCTGCCCGCGCCGGGGCTGCCGCGCGCCCGCGGGATTGCCCTGGGAACGCGGATCCTGCAGGCAGCAGAGCGCGAGCAGCGCCGTGTGGGGCTCGTGTCCCCTGGGCCACACGTCCTGCCCCACATCCCCGGGGCCGCCGCGGGGCCGCGCGGGCAGGGCTGGAGGGGAGGGTGTCCCGCGCGGTGCCGGTGCCCTCCCCAGCGCCGCGGGGCCCCCGGCGCGGCCGCGGTGCCGGTTCCGTGCGCGTCCCGGCCGTCCTCGCCGCCGCGCGGGTGGGTGTGTTTGTGTTCCCGGCAGAATATGGTCGCTGTCTCTCTGCTTCCCTCGCCCTCCTCGTGGCGCGCTGCGTGACACCGCGCTCGGCGGAGCAGCGCGCTGTGCATCGCCCAGGGCAGCTCCAGGCTCAAAATGGCATCCGTGCCTTTGCAGCGCCGGCTGCGGGGATCGCGCTGCGCCGCGGCCCGCGCAGCGCCGCTTGCGAGCGCGCTGCCCCTGGCGGCGCCGCGGCTCCTTTGTGCCGCGGGACCGGGGCACCGGCCAGCGCAGCCCAGCCCCGGCGCGGCCGGCTCCGCTGCGGCCTCCGCGGGAGCCGCGCGTGGTGGCACCGAGGGGCGCTGCGCCCCACGGAGCGGCCCAGCACCCCCCTTGCTCCTGCTCCCCGCGGGAAGCTGGGGGGTTCCTGTGGCCTGAGGGATCCCCCGGAGCACGTGGGAGCAATGGGGTGGCCCAGCGCCTGCCTTGCTCCTGCTCCCTGCGGGAATCTCGTGGGGTTCCTGCATCCTGAGGGGTCCCTCAGAGCACGTGGGAGCTGTGGGGCGGCCCAGCGCCCCCGAAGGGTTGCAACTGGTGGAATTCCCGGCTCCCTCCTTTGTCCTGAGGGACCAGCCCTGCCTTCCACCCGCACAGCTGGCTCGTGCGCCCAGAATGCTGAGAAATGGGGTTCCTTGCCCTAAACCCCCTGGTTCGCGGGGGTTTGCTGCCAGGTGGGGCGGTGGCAGCCGGTGCGGGGACTGTGGCTCAGTAGGGCGCTGGCAGCCCCGGGCACAGGGCTGTTCCCACGGGTCGCTGGGGCCGTTGGACAACCGGGGCTGGCAGTTCTGTAGACGTGTGTGGAGGACGCCCCGTCCCTCACTCTGCACAACGAGCACGTAGACATCTGAATGGCAAGAACAGCAGCAATAATTTGAGTTAAGGAAGAGCAGGTTGCTTCGGGGCATGAGCTTCTCCTAGTGATGACTGAATATGGGTGGAAACCCCAGGGCTGGGCGGATTTCCAGAGGTCTCCGGTGGCTTCCTCGGCTGCCCATAGTGACCCTCCTCGGGGGCTCGTCCTCTGCCTCCCGCTGCTGCTCTGGCCTGCCCGGGCAGCGTCTGCGGCTCCCGGGGTTCGGAGCCCGGTTCTCTGGAGAGCAGAGAACGCGGTCACGGAGCAGCAGATGCGCTCTGCTCAGGGCCCGGGGGTGCAGCCTAGCGCAGGCGACGCTGCCGAGCAGGGAGGATGCTGCTGGGCACGGAGGATAGTGCTGGACAAGAGGATGCTCCTGGGCATGGAGGATGCTCCTGGACAAAGAGGGTGCTCCTGAGCATGGAGGGTGCTCCTGGGCATGGAGGATGCTGCTGGGCATGGACGATGCTCCTGGGTACGGAGGATGCTACTGGGCACAGATGACATTCTTGGGCACTGAGGACGCTCCTGGGCACTGGGGATGTTGCTGAGCACAGAGGACGCTCCGGGGCACATAGAATGCTCCTGGATACACAGGATGCTCCTAGGCACATAGGATGTTCCTGAGCACAGAGGATGCTCCTGGATACAGAGGACACTCCTGGGCGCAGAGGATGTTCCTGGGCACAGAGGACACTCCTGCACACCCAGGACACTCCTGGGCACACAGGACACTCCTGGGCACAGAGGGTGCTCCTGGGCGCGCAGGACGCTGCAGCGCCAGGCGCTGCCCGATGCAGCAGCCCGCAGGACACACAGCCGCACGCGCAGCCACGTGTGCAGCCCGGCCTCCCCGCTGCTCGTGCGCAGGTCCCCTGGGAGGGAGGCCCCGCTCCACGGGAGGCTGTGCAGGCCCTGGGGCGCGGGATAAGGCAGGGCCGCGGGACGAGGCTGCCCGGGCGCCTTGGCTTGGGCGCAGCAGGCAGGAGCGGGGCCGCGAGGAAGGTGTCCTGCGAGCAAGGGGCCCGCACCGGGAGCACTGCGTGCAGCTCTGGGCTCCCCAGTACAAGAGGGACGTGGAGCTCCTGGAGAGGGGCCAGTGGAGAGAGACAGAGGTGATGAAGGGACTGGAGCATCTGTGGTGTGAGGAGAGACCTGGAGCATCTGTGGTGTGAGGAGAGGCGGAGTGAGTTGGACCTGTTCAGCCTGGAGAAGAGAAGGCTGAGAGGGGATCTGATCAACATGTACAAGTTCATGAAGGGGAATGTAGGGAAGAAGGGACCAAGCTCTTCTTGTTGGTGGCCAGTGACAGGACGAGGGGCAATGGGCATAAGCTGAAACACAGGAGGTTCCATCTCCATGAGAAGAGGAACAAGGTCACTGTGAGGATGCCAGAGCCCTGGCACAGGCTGCCCAGGGAGGCTGTGGAGTCTCCTTCTCTGGAGGTCTCCAAAACCCGCCTGGATGCCACCCTGTGCCCCGTGTTCTGAGTGTCCCTGCTGGAGCAGGAAGGTTGGACTAGATGATCTCTAGAGGTGCCTTCCAACCTCAACCACTCTGTGATTCTATAGATTCTGTTGGGGCAAGGCGCTTCCCACGCTGAGTCTGTCACCCGCGGCGCTCAGGTGTTCGGTCCCACAGAGACGCAATGGGAAAGCAGAGAGGAGCCCAGCGGAGCGGGGAGCAGGGCAGTGCTGCTCACAACACGTCCCCCGCAGCAGCCTGGGCAAGCCGGGACTCCAGGAGCTGCCTCGGGTGATGGATGCAGCGCCCCTGCTCCCCACAGCCGCGGTCGCTGCCCCGCGAGCACCCGTCTGCTGGGCACCCGCTGGGTGCCAGAGCCCTGTGCATGGGATGGCCTCTCAACGGAGACGTGACTTCAGGGCTTGAGGTGAGAAGCACCAACACAGGCAAGGAGGTGTGTTGGAGTAAATGCAATTAAGAATCATATTTTATTGCTTCATTTTTATCTGTTAAATTTGTTTCCAGGGAAGTGGCTGGGGCAATTAACAATTTGCTCTGCCAGAAGTAACTGGTAATATTACTTATTTGGTCTTGTTGCATAATAAGTGGCTTGTTCAAGTAAAGCAGCATTTTTGGAGGTCCTTAGGAGCCTGCACCTTGCAGTGGGTGATGAGGGTGATACTGCAGGAGCGCAGGCCAGGCCTGGGACGTGCACGTGCAGGGCGCGAGTCACAGCCCAGCGCTGCGGCCTGCAGGGTTGGATGGCCCCAGGCCTGGAGCAGCTTCCACTTGTGGTGTTCCCAGTGCAGGAGCCTCCCGAGCTGCTCCGTGCCATAGCTGCACCAGGGAGCAGTGGACGGCTCCAGGCCTGGAGCAGCTTCCAGTCGTGGTGTTCCC